AACTATCAAAACAATAAAGAACTGTGTTTTATGTAATTTAGGCTATGTTAAAACTATCAAAACAATAAAGAACTGTGTTTTATGTAATTTAGGCTATGTTAAAACTATCAAAACAATAAAGAACTGTGTTTTAATTTTAACATCGCCTAAATTACACTATCAAAACAATAAAGAAATTTTGTTTTTCATTAACAACTCATTTAATTGCAATTCTAAAAACGTAATATATCTTTTATAATGTGTACATTGTGGTAAATTCTATATTGGTGAAACAGATAATATAAGATTAAGGATAAATTTACATAAATTCAATGTTAGATGTCCCGAAATAAGCCCACTATATGCCAGTAAATATTTTAATGAATGTATTTTGAAAACATTTAAAATTCTAACAGAACCATATCTTCATGTTTTCCCCTTTTTTGGACATATAAGATTATTTTTCGAAAAATACTTTGTACATTTCTGGCCCCACTTGAAATAGAAAGTAGTAATAGGGCAGAAGTAGCTGGTAAAGTCAGTAGGAATTGCAAAATTGTGAAAACTATTAATAAGACTTACAGAAAAGAAAAATGTAAGTAAGAGTGTGAAATTATTGAATAAATAAATTAAATTTCTGTAATAATAGGAGAAAGTATAATTAGAATAAGATTTTAATTTCAAAAGGAAAGTGCATTGACTAATTTTATTTATCTATTTTTGAGCATTTTTAATGTACTTAATGGAATGCATTTGTACATTTGAAAAATATATGTATTTAATTTAGATTACTTATGTTTGAAAAACAGTACTTGTAATGCATTTATTATATATTCTCAGTAAAGTTATATACTGAAGAGTGACCTTTGAAGTCAAAGCCGGTTGAAGAAATGAATAAAGGAAGAAAAAATAAAATAGTCTGATATTCCAGTGTTTTCATACATGTATGTACAGAGTATTTTATGGCGAACTAAAGCACATATCTAATTTATTATATTAAGTCTAACCTTGAGAAGTCATTGTAAAATGTGGATAATAATATTATGATCTACCACTTAAAACAATGTAAACACTACTGTGTTTATATTATAAATGTTAATCAATTATATCAGCTTTTAAACGTTTAAATATGCACCACCACCTTCGTTTTTCTTTGCTCTAAACAATGGAGCTCTGTGTAATGGTTTTCGACTTCTACATTTCTAGTTATCACTTGCTCAAACATTTGAACTCTGAACATACCTTTGTCACTCAGTGCAGGATTGTCCTCATTCAATAGTTCTTTGTCAGAAATGTTCTCTCTGTTTAGTGTGCCCGACTGCTTCATGTCATTCGCTATTTCGCCACTTTGTGGTCGGTATTGATAAGCATGCCCGTGAAGGGTCTGGGGCGAATAGATACCACAGGTTGATGGCGTTTCTCGTGTTAATTCTTCACGGGATCGATCTGTAATAACAATAAAACAAAGATAATTTAGAACAGGTTGATCTCTCCTTCATCACAAAAGTATAAGATTGTAACAATTCCATACACCATGGCCCCAAAGTTCAAAATTTAGATTTAATGAAAATATTATTTTAGATTCCGTGAGGTTAACATGAAGTCGCCAATTAAAACTTATTTTCATAATTTTTATTCAAAAATAAGAACTACGACATAGATTTTCTGTCTAAAAAAAAAAGAATCCAAATATTTCATAATCCCTTTCATTTATTATAGAAAATAATTATTTCAGAAAAAAACCCAATATGGATCATTGGAGTTCCTTCTCTCTCTCTCTCTCT